ACAATAATATTTGTGAAGAATTAAATTGATAAAGTTAAGAACTGGCAACTTGGAAGTAATGGCAAAAAAGTAGTAAAGCTTCTAATGTATACATGTAAATAAAATTGAAGTGTCTGTCTTCAATAAGGAAATACCTTCCCGTCTTTTATTACGCTCAGAGGATAATTTGCATACGACAAAGACATAATTAAACATTAAAAAAATGTATTTTTGACTAACCTTCAGAATGTCTGCACTAATTGTGATGTAACATCAAGAACAGATGGATGTCAATGCTAGGATTGATTTAGGTTATATGTCAAACCGAAAAACTTTGAAACTTTTTTTAAAACGTTAACTCGATAAAATACATTGTCGTTGATGACTATTTTAAACAATCTAAACAATTAAAATAAATATCAATAATATATATCATCCATCAGGGTGGGTTGCTAATCATTAATATTATAAAGCAAATTATACTACTAAAGAATACATGACTGATAATAAACGCTGGGAATGAGATGATAGGTACCATGCTGTTTCTAAATGTTTTCGTAACAATTGTTTAAAATATTATATTGTAAATTGTGCTTTTTTTTAAAAAAAGTTCCGCTCGGTTTCTTGCTGGTTCTTTCGAGGACAGAGGTTTTTTTCGAACCAAGGGTAAAAGTAAAAATGACTTTCAATAAGTGTTATGTATTGTAAATGATTCTATTCTATGCTATTCTATTCTAAAAAATTTCCCTAAGTGAAAGGATGCACCTAAATATGTATTGATTCTTTAAATGTACAATCACAGAATACCAGCTTAAAATACTCAGCGTATGGTGAGTGTAGAGAACCGGAGACTCTTTTTACTGGAAAATAGGCATTCCATCTTAGTCCTCACGGGTGACAACGCTCTGCATTTTGATTCGCAAACGAGGATAAATGTAGATGTCTATGAGCCACAGCAACCACTTAACATCAGGTGGACTGTGTGCTCGTTTGTCACCCTATCGTATAAAAAATGTACAATCAGCACATCATAAGTCCAACACTGAACAAAATTCCACTCAGTAGATTGCAACATAGCACGATCTAGGAACACCGCGTCCTGAATAGTGGTAGGTCATACTAAATTTAAACGAATAAAATGACAAACTCGCAATCTGGTATAAAAATTCCTGTTAAAAATAACAACAAATACTAACAAGACACACTGCGTAGCGAAAACGCGTAAAGCCCAATAAGCTACGAGTACCTATATTTCCCTAAATTGCTATAAAAGGTGATTTGATTTGTGGTTGATTGTAGATGTTCCTCTTACATATAAAACAATTGACAGCATCTGTTAATGATCTTTTAATCCTTATATATACATTATAAAAAATGAATGTTATCTTAAGCTTTTAATAATGTTAATGTGAGCAAAATTTCGATTAAAATGGAGTTCAAGTAATTTCGTGTCCCATTAATTAGCAAATTATTATTTTAAGAAAATACTGGTAATATTTAAAAATTGTTTTTAACTTATGCACTATTCGCAATGTTGTATGTACAGAACTTTTTATGCAGTTTGAATAAATATTTGTCATAGCTGCACTCAATAGTGTTTTATAGAGGTACACAATACAATCTCGGGGCATTGTTTATGCCATTATATTATTTAAAATATGCGCTATAAAACGTGTGCATATTTCAATAGTAATTTTTTTAATAATTTATGAACAGAGCCGTGTTAGCTCAGAAAAGCCAGTCTGAAAAATAAGAGAAAAAAATTCGCAGACATGTGAATTTCGCCAACACGCATCGGCGCAGCGCGGCGAACATTTCCTTGCCCTAAAACCCCCTCAGAAACGAGGGGAGACCTTCGTATGCAGGAAATGGTTTATTAATAATACTGTAATGTTAAATTAACCAAATACGATTAATAACGGGCGATTGATAATAATTGAATATGCTAATGACATGAAATAGTGAACACCGTATATAAATTGTTTCTAACGTCCCACATAGTGATAATTTAATAGTTAAAATAAATATTTAAAAACAAGCTTTTATTTAAATGATCTAATACGAAGAAAATAAGCTTTAAATTAAATCAAACCCATCAATTTAATACATTACACAATATATGATATAAAAGCTTCTCGCAAGATTTACCTATTTTATAATTACCCACTTATGTCAATATTGTTGAGCATTAATGCCTTGTGCACACTAGTTAGCACTACCGCCCTCTAGTATCGAGTAGCAGAACTAGGAGAGTTAAGCTCCTTCGAGAAATTTCTAGAAGAACTTTCTAGATCTATCGACACCTAGTCAGTCGGGACCCGTATGTACTCGAACATTCTAGATGTTTCTACAGTAGAAGATTCTGGAACTATCTGAGGCTGTATAAGGCTGATTTAAACCGGGACCGGAGCCCTGCGCCCCCTTTTTCCTAAAGAGGGTCGCTTCCGATTCGGCAGAATGGCCACACAAGCCAATGCCAGTCCCACAGGTGGTGTTTAGTGGGTAGGCACTTAGGTTTCACAGTGAGTCCCACATAACCACGCAGCCGGCTGCGTGGTATGCTTACAGCATTCACCACCTCCCTCCCCCGCTTCCCGGAGGGTAGCCCTTTAATTTGCTTTTGGGCGCAAAAAAAAGCAACCGGAGTTAGGGTTGAATTGGCGATACAACTGCGAACTAAAGTGATCGTACAATTGTATTTTGTTAGTAGTGTGGTTTTGAGTTGTAATTAGTGTTCTATAATTAAAATGTAAATTTTTGTAATTCACTCGGCAATTTTTAATGGTCTCGAACCCCAAATTCGTAACAATATCAAGTTACTTAATATAATATTATTATTTTATGTACACAGGTAAATCTCGCGACAAGCTTTTATGTCATACAAATTCTGTAATGTAATAACCTGATGGGTTTAATTTAATTTAAAGTTAATTTTTGCATTGCATTTTAATGAAAGCTTCTTTTTAAAAATATTTTTTTACTATAATTTTTTTTTAATTTTTTATTTATCGCTGAACATGTTTCTTAGTCTGTTCATTTCATTTAATTCGTATTTGTTGGTTTTCGATTGCCATCTTAGATCCGTCATCTTGAATTTTTTTTGTCGCCAGCAGTTGACTCTTGTTGGTCCCTAAAACATTTTGTTGGAGCAGCACCAAACTATCGCTAACCCTTGCCGAGTTATTAAGTATTAATATTGGTATGGCAGCCATCTTGTTATCCGCCATTTCTAATCATTAGAATTTGCCCAGGTTGTAGGTTACTATTAGCTAACACACAACCCCGCTAAGTCTCATCGTGTAGTCGGGCAATAGTGCACCATCTCATATCATGCACAATGCGGACGTCATTTTATTCGTATTCTTCTCAGCGAACCCTCTCAACTGATATCCAATTCATGGGGTTGAACAAAAAGACATAGTTCGCCATCTTTGGCAGCCTAACATATTGAATTTAGAATGACATCATATTTTATTCTTTTCTTTTCATCAAACCCTTTCATTTAATACCCATACCATGGGAGCACATAGAAAATAACTATTCTATCATATTGGGTAGTCCGCCATTTAAGATTTAGAATGACGTCACTAAACTAATCATGCATTGTCTTCCAAATTAAATGTATTCTAAATTTCAGCTCAATCGGTTGAGGATAACTGCTTTTAAATTCAGTTGAAAGATTTGACCCTAATAAACATACAAACATCGCTTGTTAAATAAAAGGTTTTAAATCACTATTAGCTTTCGGAACAATTAAAGCAATTGCTAATCGCTTATTGTTATTCTTACTATTATACTTGGATATTGTACACGTTTCGTTTATTTAGATGACTGCAATAAATAGACCTTGGTTCAGATTATTTGCATTATAACTCAATTTGTTGAGTATGTTGAATGATTGTGTGTACTAAGCAAGTGCTGATACCAACAAAATGCACTTTTTTTTTGTGAAGCGCAATCTTAGTAAGAATAATCTTTATTTGCAAGAAGAATATGGTTATAAAATAATGTTTATGTGTATGAAGTTCTACATATTCTACCTTAATCGAGGATAAAAGTAGTTACCTATGGGCCACAGCATCCTCTTACCAAAAGGCGGAGACTGTGTGCTCGTTTGTCACACATATTCTATCAAAAAAAAAAATAGTAAACGCTTCTATAGGAGGAAAGCCTAATATAAAGTTGAATTGGACCATTTCATGGTGACTGATCTCCGGTTAATTAATATTCTAATTTGCAAATATGTTAGTGAAGTGACCTCGGATTCATAGCTTGCAAATAGGGAGCGGAGGTTAGTTTACTTAGCTCTTGATTCCCCGTGTTTTGAATGCAATGTCGCTCCTAGAGCACTGTTTGTTGTCTTAGTCCTCCACTTGAAACGAGCTAGCTAGGTCTAGATAAAAATATTGTGCTATCAGACGTGGTATTTGTTGAAAAAACTATCAATCACTCAATTACCTAAATTATAAGATCAAACGAACTTCTCAAGTGAAGTTCGATCATTATTATATGAATCGCTTCATTTGAAGATATAATATTTACCACGTAGTACCTTAAACCTACAGGTGACTTTGCACGCTTTAAGAGACAGTCAATTGACTCAAAACAAAAGTGGCGGCATACTTCCGCTACTGTCTTGTCTTGCCAAGCGGAGCCGTGCCGCTGAGAGCTCATTTTCTTTAGAGATTAAAAGCTTTCCTGGGTAGAGCGTAGCTTGGGTTGGGTGGGTGATAATGAATTATATCTTCAAATGAAGCGATTCATATAATAATGATCGAACTTCACTTGAGAAGTTCGTTTGATCTTATATTATATTTCATCGCTTCATTTTTCAGATATAATATTTACCACGTAGATTTTTAGAGGAGTTCATCCGAAAGTTGTGCTGTGGTTTAAATAAAACTATTTGCAATTAGTATATTGTTTTATTCTAGAATAATAATTTAATTTGTAATTCATGCGACAATCATAAATTATTATCTTGATGATGAACAGAGACTTCGCAAAGTTTCCATCATCGATCAATACGCGGTTATAACAACGGGCAAAAGCGCTAGACGAGGATGTCCACCCAGTAGCCTTACGTATAGTTCAACGCTGGCGCCTGCGCTGAACGCGGCAGAAGTAGATGCGTGTCGTGTGCTGTGAGCACCGAACACCGACACGTCTATTCCGCTCTCAGAAAGTACTTGTTTTATCCAACGACTTATTGTTTGGGTCGTGGCTGGTTTGTGTGGATGTTTAAAAGTTAATAAAAGATTACCATTGTTTTGCAATCTCTTTTTATCTGTAAAAGAAATGTAATCTTTTAATGTACTTGCAGGGCATATATTTAAATTATGTGTAAAAAATGGTAATACTAATACAGGTTGATCACGACCCGGCGCGGACGTCTTAATTAAATCGGAAATTACTATTTTTGCACCACTGCTTGTAAACGAAATATTTTCCAATTTTATAAGAGACAGAGTTTGGACTCTGTGACCAGTACAAATAGCTAACAAGGTCACAAGCTTCTTTGTAATTTTTTCCAGGCTTAAATTTATGTTAGGAAACCATTCTTTTAGGTAATTTAAAACAATTTGGGGGTCCCATGTTTGGATATATTTGGGAACACTTGGTTTCAATTTATATGCCCCTTTAAGCAATCGTTTTACGCTATCATTGGTAGTAAGATTGCTACCAACGAGCAATGACAACGCAGATCGATGCGAGTTTAGACTACCGTACGAGCAACCTGTATTAAACTGTTCAGTCACAAATAACATTATAAATGTTAAAGATGGTGAGAAAACGTTTATAATGTGTTGGTTACAAAACTGCCACCATAGTTTGTAAGACACATTGTATTGTTTTACCGTACTTTCAGAGAGCGAAGCCAGCATTAAAACTAAAGCCTCTGGAGCGTTGAGCGAAGGCTTGTTGGAGAGCCTCGCGACACCCAGGGTAAGGTGTGCATGCAGGGGGTGATGTTCCCTGAAATTAGATTGCAATAGGAATTTATGAGGATTGAGGTACAAAATATCAGATACCATTAATCTCTGTAACAACGGGAACCAGGGCTGTGAAGGCCAAAATGGAAAAACAAAAATACCGTCTGCCTTGTCATCTACAATTTTTCTCAAGCACTTTAAAATAATTGAAAAAGGCGGAAAAGCATAAAAGTAGCAATTATTCCAATTAATAGTAAACGCATCTACAGCCATTGCTTCTGGATCCGGTTTCCAGGACACAAAACTTGGACATTTGGCGTTGGTACGAGAGGCAAATAAATCAACTTCCGGTTGGCCAAAATGCGACATGATGGAGTGAAAGGCGCAGTCTGACAACTCGCATTCGGTATCTGGGTTTACAATCCTTGATTCAGCGTCAGCGCGGTTATCTTTTGTATTGACGTATGATGCATAAATAACTATGTTGCGCTCTTCACACCATCGCCAAATTCGACGTGTAATATCATTTAAATGAGGGAACTGAATCCCTCCCATTCGGTTCACATAGCTTAAAGCTGTGGTGTTATCGACACGTAATAGAATTGAACAGTTTGACTCATTGCATGATGAGCTCTTTAGACCTAGAAAAATTGCTAACAATTCTAAATAATTAATGTGGAATTCACGTTCACTCACTGACCACCAACCATGTGCGCGATTTTCGCTGCAAACTGCGCCCCAGCCTGTTTGAGATGCGTCAGTGTAAATCTTTATTTTAAAACCAGCATTTCGCATATGGTTTGATGTGGTAAGTGCACTTGAACTCCACCAGTTTAAATCTGGAGAAATAGTTTTTGGAATTTCTATTTCTTTTTCATAGTTGTTATTTTTCAATAATGCAAGAAACTTTTGTCTTTCTAACATCTTAGTGTAAAGCCAACCATACTTAACTGCTGGACAAGCAGCAATAAGTACTCCAATCAATTGTGCAAATTCACGGATAGTGCAATGAGATATTCGCAAAAACTTTTGAACCAATTGAATAATACTAGTACGTTTCTCTTCCGGAAGAGATATTGTCAAATTTGTGGTGTTAAAGATAAAACCTAGAAATTTACACGTTTGATTAGGTTGTAAATAACTTTTGTCGACATTTATAATAAATCCTAAACATTTCATTAACTTTAATGTGTCATTTACATTGGTAGAACACATGTGGTAATTACTACCTATACAAAGAGTGTCGTCTAAATAGATAACTGAATCATGACCACGACTTCTCAAACAGGAAATTACTTCTCTCATAATTTTTGTAAAAACCCTAGGTGCCACAGAAAGTCCATAGGGCATAGCTGTAAATTCATAGGTGACTAACTTATTTTCAAGAGTTTCGAATTGAAATCGTAAATACTTCCTATGCCGGGGATGGATTGGCACAAGTAGGTATGCTTCTTTTAAGTCGATTGTAGCTAAATATCCATCTTGTGGTATTAATTTAGAAGCTGTTCGGTAGTCTTCCATTTTGAAATGGGGCTTTGAAATAAATTTATTTAATGATTTTAGATTTAATATGAAGCGTTTACCTCCGTTTGGTTTCGGTGCAAGAAATATCTTTGATATAAATTGGCCCTTGCTCGGAGAACATTCAATAATAGCCCCTAGCTCTAACAATTTATTAATAGCAACAGTCATATCAAGTTTCTCCGATCATGAAAAGAAACAACGAGGAACCAATTGCTGAATGGGTTCCTTACAAAATGGTATAGAAACACCGTTAAGTACCCAGTATAACACTTCCTTATTAGAAGTAATGCCTAGCCAACAATTATAAAAGTAATGAATTCTGCCAGCGTGTACCTGAGTTATTATGTGGTCGGCGCACGCGCCTTGCTCGCGGTCGCTGCTAGTTGTGCGGGAGGGCGCGGCGGCGTCGCTGTGCTCTGGTAGCGACGGCTGCCACTGCCTCGTTTCGACCCTCCTCGCCCGCGACGAGGAGGGGCTGTCCAGTTTCCTGAACTGTATGGACGAATTCCCGGCGACTGTGACGAATTAAGAGCCTTTGAAATATTCGTCTTTTTAATTTGTAAACCTTGTTTTTCTATTGCTTTTGCTGCCTTAATTTTCTCAGAAAGTTTATTACCAAACAAGGTTTCGTCCCTTTCTGTATCCTGGATCACGTGATGGAAATTCTTGTCAAGACTCGGAGTAATAAGTTTTATACGAGTCTGAGTGGATGTTGCATGCAGGTCAGACAATATACGACAGCCATTACTGAGATGTTGGATGGCTTCCTTTTTATTGTCCCCCCTTAAAAGCAAATCCAATGCTCTATTTATGGCCGTAATGCCACAACCGAGTTGTTGTTGATGAAATGAAAGTCCTTTGTCTCTGTTACGGACTACTTCCGGAATGGCCGAGAAAATTTCTCCATTTATTTTCGGGGCTTGTAAAAACCGGCAATTATCTGGTATCAGGCATTGTTTCATAATCTTATCTTTATTTTCTTTAGTCATGCCTTTTGTCAGTAAAGGGAGCCATAGTTTTGCCAAACTATCATGAATTTTAGGTCCAAATTCAGGAGCGGCATCTGTGGGTTCACCTAGAGCCTCCAATAAATCAGGGTCTAACTCCAATTCATACGATAACGCCTCTAAAGACTGTCCGGCCTCATTTGGCAGCTGGCATTGGCAGTGGATGCTCTGGCATAGAAATAGGAAATTCTGTCATGAGTTCTGCATTATCACAAGGTGATGCTGCCTCATTATCACGTGGTGTTTCTGCCTCAATATCTCGTGGTATTTCTGCCTCGGGGGAGGCACCCGCAGCATCGTTCCATGATGGATCTATTTTTCCCGAAGGCGGTCGGTGGACCTCGGCGGTTGCTATGCGCTGCGTTGTTTCGCCACAACCTAAAACATATGTTTTAGGGTTAATTAAGCCAAGAATTAACACTAATGTTAATTAGACGTTGTCATCACTTATCGTTGAAAACTCGCAGTCAACCCCGATAGGACTTATACAACGTTATTATTTAATGTCAACTCCTTGTACAGAAGTTATGTGGGTATGATTCGCAGTCAGTCCCCATAATTTGCGAAACAGAGGCAAATTATAAAAAAGAAAATAGTAAAACTAACCTTCATTTGCTTCGGAAGAATCACTCGAAATAACACGCACTCGCCATCGTCGTCGTCGTCGTACAACACTTTTTTCAGCCGTTAATCTTTGAATTTTCTTTAGATAAAGATCGATTTTTTTGTCAGCACTTCGTTTCGGCATTGCTTATACTTAACTTTGTTACGTATAAATGTAGTTATATATTTTTTAGGAAACTATCACAACTTCCAGTAAAATGCGTGTGGTCGTCACCATGCACGAAAAAGGAATGAGCTCTCAGCGGCACGGCTCCGCTTGGCAAGACAAGACAGTAGCGGAAGTATGCCGCCACTTTTGTTTTGAGTCAATTGACTGTCTCTTAAAGCGTGCAAAGTCACCTGTAGGTTTAAGGTACTACGTGGTAAATATTATATCTGAAAAATGAAGCGATGAAATATAAATTTTATTTTGTTTGGAAGAACTAAAATTTTATAGAAAATTTTCTCAAAAATTTATCCCTGTCTTAAAAAGTGCCTACGTGAAATTTAAAAAAGTGATGTCTCATCATCAATAATGTGATGATACAGGTAATTTATTTATCTATATCTATACATATAAATAAAATTGATGTGTCTGTCTGTAATAACGAAATAAATGCCTTATATTTAGCTGAGGCAATTATTTGCATGCATTATTAACCATTTTACCCTCTACGGAACGGAGAAGGTATGCGTTTAAGGTGAGAGATTGTTTGTTTGTTTGTGTATGCAAACGAATGTTCCCATTCATCTCTTAAACGGTTTGACCGATTTTAACACGGTTTTCTGTAAAGGTTTTGTGATTCATCGACGATGGTTCTTAGATACGTATTACGGTGTCATTCATCATCATCATTACAGCCGTTCACAAGTCCACTGCTGAACATAGGCCTCCCCCAATGAATGCCACAAAGCACGTTCCTGAGTCACCTGCATCCATTGACTTCCTGCATATCTTACCAGATCGTTACTCCATCTAGTGAGCGATCGCCCTACACTTCGCCAACCGGTACGAGGCTGCCACTGGAGAACCTGTTTCCCCATCGGTTGTCGGTTCTTCGAGCTATATGGCCGGCCCATTGCCTCTTCGGCTTACTAATCCGTTGTGCTATGTTATTCACTCTGGTTCTACTCCAGATATCCTCATTTCTAAGTTTACAGAGAAATCTCGAGCACAGCCCTCTCCGTAGCTCGCTGAGCGCCCTTGAGCGTCCTCATACGGTCAGCAGTGAAGGACCAAGCCTCAGATCCATAAGTCATCACTGGCAACTCGCACTGGTTGTACAATCTCGTTTTCAGGTTTTGAGGTATACCTGAATATGTATTACGGTGTAAACAAAATAAACAGTGTTGATTCGCCAGGGGGCGCTTGAGCGACTTAGATGCGATGTTTTGTGAAGTGTTTGAAATTTATTTGTAATAAAAAATTCTTAGATAGGTTTAGTTGTGATAAACCAGTGGCAAACCACCAGGAGCCGCTGATACGATTTTTTGTTAAGTGCTTTAGATATAAGATCTTTTAAGGTAGGAGTCTGTACATGGACCGATGAGGGTCTGATGAAGCGAACGACATCGTGGGGAACTCTGCGAAGGCACATAACTAGTAGACCGTGTTTGGATTTTTTGATAGGGTTTGTTAAGTAGCTCCTGTATACGAATTGCTGAGGGTTACGCAGAGGGGTACAATAAAAAAAAACGGTCAAGTAGACTCGCACCTGACCGTTTTTTTGACTGTATTGCTTGCGCACCGCGGGTTACGTACAAACTTTTATGTAGATAGTTCGTCCATTACGGGAATGGAGTTTTGAATTTTTCCGAGTATGTTTTCAGTTTCCCTCCGGAATGTATATACGCACAATCTTGCTATAAGGCGACAGTGAGTTGGTATTAACAGGATCGGTGTGCTCCGCCTTCAGCGTTACGTTGACTTATCGGCGTTATAATGTCTGAAATTGCGGTCAAACATAGACTTAGTTCATATATAAATTATAAATTAAAGTTATAACTTAAGTACAAATTAAATTTAAATAATATTAAATTTAAACCAGATTTGTAAGTGGTGACAGAAAAATGAATAAATAGTACTGCATTTACGACACTAATATAGTCATTAGTGTAATGATTATAACAATAAGTTAAAAGATAACTTTATTTACAAGAATTCTTAAAAGCAAGGGAGGTTAGGCTTTTGTTACGCTAGAATCATTATCGTAGCATAACAAAACCTATTGATTTACCATCTATGGTGTCATGGGTCTACTCAAGCCCTAGGGGTCGGGGTCCAGGCAAGATAAGAAACAAATGTGCGGTGTTTTTGGTATAAGTTATTTAATTGTAACATAAAAGCCTACAACAACTCAACACTACAAAACAATTAACTAAATAGTTTTAAGCATAAAAAAACTACAAATTATCCTAACTCTAAGATATGTAAGCACTAAAATTTTAACTAATTCTACAGCTACGCATTAACTAGAAAAATAAAATGAAATATAATAAAACATAAAATTTACCACTAGCTCTTTTACTTTAGTAAACAAGACTTATAAATAAAGTATCATTACAAAAAATGCAAACTTAATAAATAATAAAAGAAAAAGCAAAATCATAAAAATAAATTTCAATATTTTTATTCGGAGGTTTGGACCATGAATTTGAAGAACTCGCCCAATGTACTTGGCCGCTATCCCGATAGGCTATGCCTGCCGATGACGTTTGAAATCAAATTAGGATATAGTATCATCTCTCTATGTCCTCATGTTTTATGACGAAGTAGATTTTCTAATAATTCTTTGCCAGAGATATAGGAAGGCGTATGATCACAATTAACTTAATGGGCGTTTCCACAGACCCGTTGCACCTCTAAAATTAACGTTCCACGAATAAAATATGTATTTAAATAATACAAAATTAACTGATACACAGCTATAATATGTACGTAAACTTTTGTGCATCAAACTTCCAATGTCTCACAAAAATTCCCACTACTCGCGATGGCGACTGCGGCCCTCCGCTGTCCGTAACCAATTCCTACCCTCCAATATTTTTCCAAGTTGAGAAACATGACCCATCTCAATTATGACGTAAATCGTAACATTATTTTTTTTTTATCATCACATATCCCCCCTCATCAAATGGAATCCAACCGGATTCAGCTAGATCTCAAATTACCCGTTTCAGGTCAGAAGCGTGCCATGTACCCAAAAGTTTGCCGCGTAAACTTTTCAAAATATAAACATCGGCTGACAGCTTCTCCGAAATAATAGCTTTTTCGTACTTTGGGGATAACTTGGCCATAAAGTTTTTATTAGCACATGATTGTGGTTTTGTTTTCTTCCAAACCAACTCTCCCACATTGAAATTGCATATTCGTCTTCTTTTATTATAATTTTTGCTATTAATTTCATAAGCCTCTCGCAGCCTCTTGTTTACGTCTTTATATATTTCTTCTCTAAGTCTCAAATTATTTTCAAAATAGTTTCTATTTACATTAACATAATCATCTTTATCTGGCCCGAAATCAATTTTGTTTTGTAAGGAGGTTTCTCTACCAAAAAA